TGAAACAGGACAGTTTCGGGGAGACAATGAAGAAAGAATGGATAAATTTTTTTTAAAAAAAACCAAAATCCTCTGTAGGGTCATTGCCATGGGTTTTGAATTGACTAAAGGCAGTGTTTTTTATTTTGGTTCTTTCCTTCTTTCTTTCTCTTTCTTTCTCTCTCTCTCTTTCTTTCTTTCATCAATATATGTTTAAGTAGCTGCCCTTGTTGCTCTATGCACACCTGCCTATTATTCAGGAGGTTGGACAGTACTACCTGATAACTATCTCCTTCTGTTTGTTTATCCACTCCCTTAGAGAGAGGGGTACCCTGAAAATAATGTTACAGTGAACATCCTTTCATATGTCCCCTAAGTGAGAATGTTTTGGGATTTACACTTAGAAACTAATTATTGGGTGACAGCTCTCACACCAAACCCTCTGTCATCGAGCTGATGCCCACACATAATAACCCTATACAACTCACTTACTGCCAAGACAGTTCTTACTTGTAGACTCTCTTTCAAGTTTCTGAGATTATAGATTGAAACTCAAAAAGATTACCATCTTTCTGACAAGAAGCAGCTAGTGGATGCGAACAGAGCACCCGCTAGGGACTCTGCTATCAGAGCGCCTCAGAGCACCTTGTGGGATGTAATGAAAATGCCCTTAGGGTTTCCAAAGTGTCCAGAATTCTTATTTAGATGCTACTTAATGCATCAGATTGTTTGGAATTTCCTCCAAACCTGCCTGGTGTGTTTTTGTGGCATGATTTAGAAGACTTTTCCTCTGTAGTTGCTGGTGTCGGTATTAACCAACCCTGTGTGCTTTGAGGGCAGGCATTTGATGTGTGTCTAATCCGATCATGAAGACCTTTTCCAGTCCCCTTGAGTCTTCTTAGGTTCTAGACCTTGGAAACTCTTTCACAGAACAAATTCAGTTCAACCAGGAGCCTGACATTTCTTGAAGCAAGAAAAAGGAAGAGAGATGAGAAGAGATAGAGACAGAGAGAGGATTTGAGACTCTGTACACTGTGTAACGGAGAAGCTCAAGGGAGTAATCTCAGGACGATTTTTGCCTCCTCCATGTGAGGTCACTTGCATCCCTCTCAGACCACACTTTTTGTTTCTTGGGGATGAAAAAAAAAAGAGAGAAAGAGAAAGTGATCTTGATACCTGTCTAAATGACCCTGTCATGAAAAAAATCTCCAAGGAGACTTCTTTTAGTGTTGTTGTAATGCTGTTAAGTCAGAACCAATCCAGTGGATTTTCTGAGTTTATAAATCATACAAGAGGAGATTGACCATATTTCTCCCTTGGAACTACTGGTGGATTCAAACAGCTTGCCTTCGGGTTGGCAGAACAAAAAAAAAGGAGAGGGGGAGGGGGGAAAGAGCATAGGCTAGATGTTTGTGGTTCAATCAACTAATAGGCCACATGTCTTAGGGAGGAGGCTTTCAAAAACAAAAATTATTTTTTATTGTTTCAGAGGCTGGAAGGTCAAACTCAGGTTCTGAACCATCAGTTTCTTTCTTGTGTGTAGCACTGGGACACTCTTTAGTTCATCGCTTGGCCTCACTTGACCTTGCACTGGCTTGAAGATGATCCTCTCACTGTGGCTGACTTCACCCAGGTCTGTTTCTCTGAATCTATTTCTGTCTTCTTGTAACTCAGAAGAGATTCTTTTGAAAGGCTTTGAATTTTGAAGTCTTTCGACACTGATACGACCTTATTAACATAAAAGTAAAACTTTATTACAAACAGGATTACATCCATAATTACAAGGGGCAAGAACTCAAAACATAAATTGAGGATGAATCAATTCAATCCCCCTATATTCTATGTGTGATAGAATCACAAATTACCATGCAGTTTGAACCCACCAGCTACTCTTCAAGAAAAAGATGTACAGTCTTTTCTTGTAAAGATTTCAGTCTTGAAAAGTTAATGGAGGATTGCTGTGCATCTATATCAACTTAACAGCATTGGGTTTGAGTGGTTAGGGTGGGTATCAATTATTTACTATTTACTAGAAGGGAATTGCATCATTCACAATATTCCCAAACTGGAAACAACTACAGTGTGCATTAACAGGTTTGGAGGTATAAAAACACGGTAGGAAAGGAAATGATGGAATATTACACAGCAATGAAAAGGAATAAACTACAACCATGTGTCAGGAAGAGTCTCATTGCCAAAATGTTAACTAAAAGAATCTAAACACAATAAATTACTCTATTTATGGCACTTAACACCAGGCAAAACTACTCCCTGCCCCCAGTAATGCTATAATAACTTTTAGAAGGCAGTGTTCTGAGTGAATGCGAGAATGTTCTATGTCTTCATTTATGTCACATGGGTATGTTTAGTTTGTGAGAATTCATCAGCCTATTATAATCATCAAATTATTGATATGATTAATGCTCTTTTTAAAAACAGGTCTGGTTTTGTTGGTAACAACCCAAGTCTCCTTCAACAAACGAATGGATAGAGAAGCTCTGGTATACTAACACAATGGAATACTATGCTGCATTGAAAAAACAAGGAACTCATGCAATATTACACAAAATGGATGACCCTGGAGGACATTGTGCTGAGCGAAATATTTCAGTCACAAAAGGACAAATATTGCATAGGGCCACTATTGTAAAATGGGACTGACATCTGGGGGTTGAGGGAAGACTGAGAAAGAGGAGATAAATAATATATACCACAATGAAACAAATGAGGGAGAGAACTGTTTAAAAGGGTTATATGATTCGGTATTACTGTCATGAGAGGAGTACAGAACAAAGGCTGTACAGTGGAGTGGACTTGGGGTGAGGGATTATATAACAACGAAAGAATTTTTCTTTTACTTTTCAAAGAGAAGAACGAATTGTGGCGAAGGGGGTAAGCATGGAGAAAAGTGCAACAATGAATGAATGGAAACCCTAAGTCTCTGTAAACTTTCATTAAAATAAAAAAAAGTAAACTGAGGAGGAGGGAAGTAGAGAGAAGGGATAAAATCTGCAATAATGAATGAAAATCTAACATTTCTGTAAATGTTCATTAAAATTACAAATAAAATAAAATCTTATTTTTTAAAAAAATAGGTCTGGTTTTGTAGTGTATAATGTACTCGGTTGTTAACTTCAAGGTCAGCTGATCAAATCCCAGCACAACCCAAAGAAGAAAAATGGACAGGCTTCCTCCATAAAGATTTACAGCCTTGGGGCTTGACGGAATGTCACTGTGAATTGGAACCAACTTGGCAGTTGTTGGTTTTATTTTTGGTTTTGTTTACCATGACACATTTAAGTTAAAAAAAACCTAAAACTATACGCAGCACACATGCACATTCAAAAGAAAGATCCATCTTTTTGAGTGTGTACATAAACGTGGTGTGGATGACATACAGTAAGTGTAACCTTTGCCTAACTGGGATGGGATAAGGGAAAGCCTCCCCAGAGATTTTACCTCACTCTGAAATTTTTTTCGTTCCTTTTCTTATACATATATTATTTAAGTCATGATTTGAATGAAAGTTTACAAAGTAGATTGGTTTTCCGTTACATCATTCATACCCAGTTTGTTTTATAACATTAATTACATTACCCACAACATACTTGCACTTTTCCCACTTCCCCTCTGGAAATCTCATTTCCACTAATCTGTCCCTAACGTTTTGGGTTTTGTTATCCACAATTATGGGATTTATCAGGGACGTTAACAATTTATAATACAGGTTGTAAACAATCAGGAAACAACTTTTCTGTCGGGACAGATGGAGGCCTCTGCCTTCCACTCCCATTCCCCACCCCCAGGGGCTCTGGGCTCTGGGCCATAGTTACAAAGCTCTTTTAGTACTGTTAATTATTACACACCTACTCCTACACATCTGATAGTGAGTCAAGGTGAAAGTCCTTGGCTCCAGCTCTGTGGGCCGCAGTTCTTGTTCAGCGCTGTCTCATGTTCATCTGTGCGCTTCCATCTCTGCTGCTGCTGTTCTGGTCTGGTCCTTCTCTCAGCAATCCCTGGTCCCAAAGACTCAATGCACTCTCTGCTTCTTCCATTGCCATCATATCTCATCTCATTGCTTGAGTTTGAAGCAACTCATAGCTGATCCTAGCTGGGTTTCAGAGGTTGTAAATCTCACAGGAAGGGACTGCCCTTCTTCTTCCTGAGGAGCAGCAAGTAGATTTGAACCACCTGCAGTTGGGTTGGCAGCATGACTCCTCACCCACTAGGCCACCAGAGCTTCCTTATAGGAACAAGATTTTCCCCACCCACTCCATAACGTTTCAACAATCAGATGATAGTTATTTTTAAGATTGCTGTGAGGAATACATGAGTTCATATTTTAAGAGCCCTCTGAGCTGACACCCAGTGGGTGCAGCGTAAGCGTTTGCTACACTAGAAGTAAAAAAGTGACAAATGTTTCCTAAGGTACAAACTGTGTTGTTAAAACAAAAATTAGGATAAAAGAAAGAAATATTAGATTAATAAAACTAATGTTTGTTTATTTACAATTACTAGAAGAATAAATAGGTTAAACACTGTGTCTGTCAGTTTCTGCTCAAATTTTTATATGCTGTATACATTAATACGTCCTTTTAGAAACAGAAACTTTTCTTTGGCGTTCTCTGTGTGTTGGTTGGGGGTTTTTTACATAAATGTGTTATGTCAGGCATACTTAGAAAAAAAATTTAATTGAAGTATGATAGCAACAGAACTAAGAATCACGGGGCAGGAGACAGAAGATGAGAGCGATAGAGAGAGACCACGGGGCGATTGGGGGTGGGGGTGGGCAGCACCGGAAACCTCAGCCTGGAGGGATCCCCGTGCTGGGGGAGGGGACCCTTGGTCTCTCTGCAGCCTCTTCCTTCCCCCTGGCCCGGGGCTGGGTGGGGAGGGGCAGTTCCTCTTTCCCTCCCAAGCACCAAGGAGGCCCAGCTCCAGAGGCACTAGGAACTGGAGCCCAGGCAAGGGGGGGGGGGAGCTGAGCCACACTTTTGTGGGACCCCTCCGCCACAGGAAGCATGAACAGGAAAGACAGCAAGAGGTGAGAGGACCCTCCAAGGAGACCTGGCTGCACCGTAGGTGCATCCTAAGGCCCTAGTCTGCAGCTGCCTGAGAAGGTGGGGGAGGGACAGCTGCGCGGCAAAGGGGCTCGAGACTATCTGGACTTGGAGCAGAGTGTGTCAGGTGGAAAGGTGTTAAGGCCTGTCTTCAGAGGTACCGCTGGGTAAACGAGAACCTCCAACCTTGGGGTTAGCCGCCAAGCTCGTTAACAATTGGCGCTGCCCAAGGATTCTTGGCACATCCAAAGGGCTGGATGACTGAATGTTGAATACTGTTGACCAACAGCTGGGCATTTATTGAATGCTGAGTATGCACCAGGTACCAGACAGGACTGGGCCGGCTGTCTAGGTAAGATTAGGCTGTGCCTGTTGGTACACGAATGGCTGGGCTTCTTTCTCCCCCTGTGTCTCTCCAGAGTTTCAGCAGCCCCATGTCCCACTCTCTCCAACCCCTCCTAGAAACCCAGGCTGGGTGTCTCTACCTTCCCTGAGATCTTGCTGTGCCCCTGGACAACCAATGTCCCTCCTGCCTGGCAACTCCAGGCTCTTGCTGGGCCCTGTCCTGCGGGAGGGCAGTGTGACGCAGGACTAGGTGGACCCCTGCTTCTTAGATCACTGCTGGCTATCCTGCTGGTGCAGAAGCTTAGAGTTAGCAGGTTAGGGACAGTGAGGGGCTGGAGCTGCCTGCATCTTCTGAGGTGGGTTCCCCACCACTGGGCAAGCTTTCCTTCCTGTACCTATGAAGACAGATGGTGGCTAGGTCCCTAGTGCAGGCAGCTCCTCTTGCTTCTGATGAATGAAGAGATCCCCTTCCCATGATAAACAGCAAGTTAGTGGTGGAGACCTAGTGGCACCATATCCCAGCTGGGCGGTCTTAGGTAAGTTGCCTCACTTCCATGCCTCAGTTTCCTCTTCTATCAGTAGCATTAGCCATAGTCCTCAGTGACACTATCTAGGCCGTGTTTCTCCAACTTGAGCCAGCATCCATATCACTTGGAGAACAGTATAAATGCAATATCCTAGGTCTATCCCTGAAATTTCTGATCCTGAAGTTCTTGGGTGGTGACTGATGGTGTGCATTTCTGACAAGTTCCCAACTATCACTGGCTAGGGACCACAGTTTTGAGAACCACAGAGCTGACTCAATGAGACATGTTCCTGTTGTGGTGTACATGTACCGAAGAGTCATAACAGACTCATAGCTGACCCTCCATAGGGTTTTCAGAGGCAGTTTAATCACACAGGAGAAGACTGGGGGAACGATTGCTTCTCTTTTTCCCACGTAGCAGCTGGTGGATTCGAACCATATGCCTTGGTGATAGTAGCACAGCTCCTTACCACTAGGCCGCCAGAGCTCACTCAGTGATGTACAACAGTATTATCCCAGCTGTTATTAATCAGTAATATTCCACACTAATTCGTTATACCCATAGGATGTGGCAAGAACCTTTGGTAGTGTAGAGTTATTGAATGTGGCTGTTAATTCAGAGGTTGGAGGTTCTAGTCTACCCAGAAGTACCTCTGAAGAAAGGCTTGGAGAAGTACTTCCAGAATATCATCCATTGAAAAACCCTATGGAGATAGTTCTACTCAGACATACATGGGGTCACAATGAGTTCAAATCCATTTGATTATACACATCTGAGTTTTGTTTTGTTTTGTTTTGTTTTGTCTAGGGATGTGTCAGGGACCTCCATATGCTTCCCAAGGCCTGGTTTTTAGTCTTCCTCTATCACTTTCTCTGGGCCTCTAGTTCAGCTTTCCCACCTCTGGCCACTTAACAACCTGGGTAAATTGAGTCCATTCTCAAGCACTTTGGCAGAGGTAAGCACTGAATTAACAAGGCCCTTGGGAGGTCCAAGCCTGGCCCTTTTTTCTCCTCTGAGGAAACCAAAGCCAGAGAAATTAAGTGACTAACACAAAATCACACACACAGCTAGCTGACTATCTCAAGCCATGTGCTTTCTGATTCCCGCAATACACCCCTTCCTTCCTCACCTCCTTGCTGTCACTGTCTTTCCATTACCTTCTTTCCTGCCTGGAACAGGGGCCTTGGGGAGGCACAAGGCAGATCAGGGTTATTTTTGAACTTTCTTTGAAGACACTTTAATCCCAGGTAGGCATCACACTCTGTGATTTCAAATCCTACTACACTGTCATGGTGGTCAAGACAGAGTGGTCCTGGTACAATGACAGACACATAGATCAATGGAATAGAATTGAGAACCCTGAAATCAGCCCGTCTAACTATGGTCAACTGATTCTTGACAAGGAGATGAAATCATTTAAGTGGGGAAACGATAGCCAATTTAACAAATGGTGCTGAGAAAATTGGAGAACTCTGGAGTAACTCTGGGCCTTGGCCTTAAGGAAGCCCCTCCTCTGATCTTTGGAGCTTTGAGGTCAGAAAGAATTCTGGGAATTTGCTGATGGACAGGACACCCATGATTCCCTGGGGACTGTACCTGCAGGAAGTCCCACCAGGAATGCTTGGGGGTAACGGGGGCACGGGGCCGGCCCCGACAGGCCCGCCGCCACAAGACGTGCCCCAGCCCTGGAGAAATCAGCAAGGTTATGGCTTCCATGGCTCTGGGTGTGCTGAGAGAGGGCTGCAGTGAAGATGAGCTGCTGGAGAAATGCATCCAGTCGTTTGGTGAGTGTCATCTCCCTGGCCAGCCTCCCCAGACCTGACAGTCAGCAGAGCACCCATCTACTAAGCCTCGGTTTCCAGGGATGTAAATAAGGGCCAGAGCACGTGAGATGAGAGACATCCTTCCTGCGGTGGGAAGGTGGCAGAGACTTGATACTTTCTTTGTCCCTACTTTGTCTAGATGCCTTTTTTTTACCTGGTCATGTGTACACTAGGGACCTTGTGGTCCAGTTATAATCATCAGTTACCATATGATGTATGGTTGGGGAAACTGAAGTAACAGGGCAATCACTTACCAAAGGAAGACAGCTAGTAAGTGACAGAGCTGGGTCCAAGAGAGCCAAGTCCAGAACCATGCTCTTAACCACACAATGTACATTCCAGCCAAGGAAACTAAGGCATGAAGAAAGTTAATGTAAGGCATTTCTAGGAGAGCCAGAGTTTGAACTAGAATGTCCAGCTGTGAGCAGTTCATTGCTTGGGGGCATTTCTGACAGTCTCCTTCTCATCACCCCAGACTCTACTGGCAGCCTGCGCCACGGGGCCCATGTTCTCCACATGATGCTGGCCATGCACAGCTGGGTGCTGCCTTCCGCCCACCTTGCTGCTCGTCTGCTGACTTTATATCCTCCCAGGGTATCATCAGGGGGTGAAGGGAGGAGAGCAGAGTTGTATGAGACCCAGAGAAGGGGACAGGGTGAGTGGGAAAGCATCTGGGATGCTGGACGGTGGAGCCTTGACCAAACACAAGTACCAGAAAGCCACAGGGAAAATGCAAGAGCTGAGACGGCTGCAGATCTGTCACCTGGTCAGGTAGGACTGAGCCAAGACCTCCACTCCATGACCGAAGACCTCACTCTACTACTCCCCAAAAAGCTCCTCCCAGAGACTTAACCTAGTTCCCACAGACCCAATACTAAAAGCCTCCCAGCTTGGTTCTAAGACCATTGAAGGTTTATTTCTAGGATCCCCATCTCTTAAAGACTCTCTCCCAAGTGGTACCCAGAAACCTTAAGTTCTGGTCTCCCAAACTTTCAATTCGCAGAAAGCTCCTAGATCTACCCATAAGAAACCTTCACCCTGGCCCCTAAAATTCTTACCTTCCAGAGACCCTCAGCTATTGAGACCGCCAGTTATTGAGACCCTTTGATCTGCTTTTCAACAGTCTCCCTGCCTAGCTCTTATAGATTACTCCAGGTTATGTCAAGACTCTAGTCCTATTCCCAGCAACTCCCACAGTCGTGTGCTCCCCCACATCTTGGTTCTCCAGAATTTCAAGGGACTCTACCCACACTTACTTCCTACTTTCATCCCATCTCTAATCCATCCTCAGGTACTGGCTGATCCAGCACCCTAAGGCAGTTCACCAAGAGCCCCAACTACAAGAGGCAATCGATCGCTTCTGGGCTACTGTGGACCAGGAGGGAGGTCCAGCCCAGAGGAGCCTGGGAGGATCCTCTAATCTGTGAGTCAGCCCCTTCCACCTGTTCCTTCCTTCCCCAAACTCCCATTCTCCCATCCTCCTCCAATCCCCTAATCCCAACACCCTGAATCCCACCATTACTCTGTTCCTCTTTGTCCCCAGCCTGAGTCCTGATGGCCCTGGTCCTCCACCTCCAATAAGTAGTCCTGGCCTGGGAAAAAAGTGCAAAGTGTCCTTGATTTTCGACCATCTGGAGACAGGGGAACTGGCTCAGCACCTAACTTACCTAGAATTCCGGTCTTTCCAGGCAATCACGGTGAGGACCCCTTACCCAACCAGGAAAGGATTGAGAGGTGGAACTTGATGGGGCCAGGCAGGACTGAGAGGATCTCAATACCTGGAGGATTCAAAGAAATTAGTTAAGCTAACTGAGCCCAGAGTCTCTGGGTGCAGATCCCACTCACCTCTTTCCTAGCTGTGAGTCTAGTTTTTCTGCTTTGTTTTAGGGTGTTATGTGTTTTTTTAACTTTTTTTGAACTTTGAATGAAAGTTTACAGAGCAGATTGGTATTCCATTCAAGTATTCATACCTATTTTGTTTTGTGACTTTGATTGCAATCCTACGTTGTATTATCATTCTTCCCACTATTTCTTTGTAGTTATTATTATTTCCATCCATCCTTCTGTCCTCACCTACCTTATTTTTTTATTTTTTTCCCTCACCTACCTTATGGGTTTTATCCCTGGACAGATGCTGTCCTATTGATCTTGTGTGGTTGATTGTTCTGAGGACTAAATACTTCCCTGTTCACCCTGTAGACCTGTCTATTGTGTCTGTAAGTTGTGCCAAAATGTGAGTTCAGTTCCAGGCTCAAAGGAAGGCTAAGGACACCAGTCTCCTTCAGACCGTTATTGTGTTGTGGAATTTTGTCCTATGTTTATCCCTTATTCTATACAGGACCCTCTGTTGTGATTCCTCCCAGAGCAGTTAGTAGTGATAGCCAGACATCATCAGTTCTTCTGGTTTCAGGGGTGTAGAAGTTGAAGCTCTTAAGGTCTGTTAGTGCTATGAACTAATTGTTTCCAATGTATCTTTTCTCATTCTTTGCTCCAGACAGGGAGTACATTAGATGACCGGTCACAAGCTTATAAATCTCTAGCTGTGTGACTTCAAACACACAGTTTCTCATAGTTTCTCATCCTCTCTGGGACTTAGTTTCCTCATCTGTAAAATGGTCATCTACTTCATAGGGTAGTGGGGAGAAATCAGTTCACTTGTTTACTTAAAAATGTTTGTTACTGACCGCAACAACCAGATCAAAATTAGCAATGATTAGAGAGGTAGTCCAGGTCTGGGTAGTGTTTTCTTGTTTTTTTATATTGGTTACTATGAGCAGGAATGACTAGACGGCACAAATGAGAACAATAAAAATATTATGAAAAATTAATATAGTGATTATAAATATTCAGTCACAATATGTTCTATTATAAAATAAAATATGTAATAATCACATATTTAAAAAAATGTTTGTTACTGTGCCTGGCACATTGCAGTGCTCCAAAATATTTTAGTAATTGTTTATTCAACAGATACTTATTGTGCACCTCATACATGTCAAGCAAAGGGTTACTAAACAAAATGGAAAAAAAAATATTCCTGTGCCCATGAAGCTGACAGTTTAGTTGGAGAGGGACAGGTGAATCAATACTATATATATAATATAATCTATTGTTCTTATATGTTGTTACGTGCCATTGAGTCAGAACTGACTCATAGCTAACTCTCCAGTGAGTTTTCAGAGGCAGTAAATTGCACAGCTGGAGACCGCACACAGAGCAGCAGGCGGATTCAGATTGAGTGTCTAGGCCATCTGGGCTCAAATATAACCAATGTTATATTAGGAGCTGCTGAGTTGAGTACGACCCATAGTGACCCTATGAACAACATATCTGAACCCTGTCCTAGCCACACTAGAGCCCTTGCTGTAGTCCCTATGTCAGTCCACCTGGCTGAAGGTCTTCGTCTGTCCAACTCTCAGCCTTTTCAAGTATGATATTCTACTCCTCCTAACAACATGCCAGAAGTATGTGAAGATGTAGCTTTGTTATTGCTGCATCCTAAGAGCACTCTGGCTGCACTTTCTCCAAGACGTGTATGTTTGTGTGTTTGTTTTGTCTGTTTGTTTGATTGGTTGGTTGGTTGGTTGGTTGTCTATGGGATGTTCAGTACTCATTTCAAACACCACAGCTCAAAGGCATCAATTCTTCTATCATCCTAATTTATGGTCCAGCTCTCACATGCACAACAAGTGATCAGAAAGACGATGGCCTGAATTAAATGCACCTTAGTACTCAAACTGACATCATTGCTCCTTCATAATTTGGAGAGGTTCCTGACTACAGATTTTTCTCATGTTTCCTGATTTCTATCTGCTGGTACCAAGGGTGTTAACTGTGGAACCAAGAAAAATGAAATAATTGACAACTTCAATCTTTTCTCCATGGAAACAGTTCATACAGCACCAACAGACCTTAAGAACTTCAACTTCTATGCCCTTGAAACCAGAAGAAACAACAAAGGGAAAACATGCTGAAGTAAAAGACTTAAATAGATTTCCAAGGACAGCTCGAGAAGACAAAACAAAGTATTATAGTAGAATGTGCAGAGAACTGGGATTGGAGGATAAAAAGAGAACTCACTCAGCATTTCTCAAGCTGAGAGAAATGAAAAACAAATTGAAGCCTGGAGTTGCAATATTGAAAGATGCTGTGGGCAATATAGTGAATGACCCAGGAAGCATCAAAAGGAGATGGAAGGAATACACAGAACCACTATACCTGACTGGCATTGAAAAATTTCAGGAAGTACCACATAGGCATTAGCCTATGATAATGAAGGAGGAAGTGGAAGCTGCATTGAAGGCACTGGCTAAAAGGAAGTCCCCAGGAGTCAATGGGATACCAATTGACATGTTTCCATTAACAGATTCATCTCTGGATGCGCTCACCAGTCTATGCCAGAAAATTTGGAGGACAGCTGTCTGACCAACAGACTGGAAGAGATCCATACTTGTTCCCATTCCTAAGAAAGGTGATCCAACAGAATGTGGGAACTTATTAAAAAATATCATTAATATCATATGTAAGCAAAATACTGCTGAAGAGAATTTAAAAATTGCTAGAATAGTACATAGGGAACTGCCTGAAGTTCAAGTAGAATTTAAGAGAGCCTGTGGCACCAGGGTTATCATTGCTGATGCCAGATGGATGGATCTGGCTGAAAGTAAAGAATACCAGAAAACTGTCTAATTATGCTTTGACTATGAAAAGGCATTTGACTGTGTGGATGGATCATAACAAATTGTGGCTGGCGTTGAGAAAAATGGGAATCCCAGAGCACCTAAATGCGCTTATGCGAAACCTAGACCTAGACCAGAAGAGTGTTGTGCAGAGCAAGGGAACACTGTTGTTGTTATTGTTGTTGTTATATGCCGTCGAGTCGCTTGCGACTCAAAGCGACCCTATGTACAACAGCCCTAAACCCTGCTCTATCCTGTGCCAATCGCACTGTCTCTGACACATGGATCCCGATTACCCCAGTCACTGAATCAATCCACCTCATAGAGGGTCTTCCCCTCCTGCGCTGTCCCTCCATCCTCCCAAGCATGATGTCCCTCTCCAAGGACTGGTCCCTCCTTACAACATGTCCAAAGTATATCAGACGAAGCCCCAGAATTCTTGCCTCCAAGGAG